TTTCATTTTATTTTGATTCGATGTTGCATGTATTGATTCTTCGTGTTTGCCATTGGTATGTGTTTGAATATTGTATTTGCCCTTGTCCTCGTCTAACACCATCACCTTATTTGTCTCTCCCATGCCGATCGCTTGTTTCCGGTGGCCGGATTAGAAGAAGATAGAGGTAGGTTTTGTTTGAGAATTTTTTGGTAATGTTGCAGCTTATTTATTATTTTTTTTACTTTATTGTATTAAGGTGTTTCATTTTGTTTTGACTGGATGTTGCATGAATTGATTTCTTGGTATTGCAATCAGTATTGTTGAATGTTGCATTTGGTTGAAACAATTTTGCTCAAGCGTTTGAAACATTTTTCTCTGATAGTGAAACATCTGAAACATTTTCATTGAAACAATTTTTACCGAGCGGTGAAACATGTGAAACATTCTTCAATAATACGGTGCAACACCGTCCGATCTGTAGCAGCCTCCTCTTTCACTCACTCATCTCCCTCTGGGCAGGCCGGCCGGCGAGGGGTAGATGTTGTGTGCTGGGCGTGGCGACAGTGCTGCACGGACCCACGGTTGACCGCTGCTTCCACCCTCGCCACTGGACCATGCTCCGGGAGAACGCCCCCACAGCATCCACCCCTCGCCGCCGCTTCCGCAACGTCTGCACTAGCAAATCCGTAGAGGTAGACCTCCCCGAGCTCGATGGACACTACGTCTTCGTCCCCAAAGGCGAGGGCCTCCTCCTCCTCGTCGACAAGCGCACGTCCGTCGTCCGCCTGCTCAACCCGCTCACGCGCGCGCCACCTCGCGGAGCTCCCGCCGCTCATCCCGTTGCTTGACCACGGCACCAGCAATGGTATCTTGATTCTGATGGTAATAATCTCCGGTAGGACACTTACATGGATATATTCATGGGTTTAAGTGCCGGCCTCGCCGACGACGCTACAATCGCCTTGCATGCCTTCAAGCCCAAGATCATGCTCGGCGTCGGCCGTTGCCAAGCTGCGCGACGAACGATGGACGTTGCCCCATAAGGGCAAATCGTTCATGTCAACCATATCATTCGATGGCTGCTTCTACTGCGCCACAAGCCGAGCTGTCTTGGTAGTGGAGACCGGGGCTGACAAAGAAGAAAACCACGGACCGGCGCCGTGGCTGGTGGTGGCAGCTCCCGGCGACCTCCTCCCCACCACCTCACCGGCCTTCTCCGCCCGACGCCGCCTCACCGGCTTCGCGCCGTGCTGCTCCACATCGCCATCGTCCCACTCCGCCCGCCGCCGTGCTCGATCTCCCCGTGCTCCCGCCGCCGCCTCCCTTCCCTTCTCTTGTGTCGCCGCCGCTGCATCACCGGCTAGCCATCGGACCTCCTCGTCCAGACGACCTCCCCCCCAATGCCGGCCGACCTGCCTAAGGGGAGATGAGTGAGAGAGAGAGAGAGGAGGAAGGGAGAGGAGAGGAAAGAGATAGCCTAATGACGTGGCGTTCTGACATGTGGGCCCATGTGGGTCCCACGTTGACTCACCGTCACGTCGGACAAACTGGGCCAAAACCACCCAAGCATGTAAAACGAATGGTTTTGTAAGTTAAGAGATGGTATATATATGATTTTATGGTTGGGGCATGATTTTGTAATTCGATGACAAGTTGAGGTACCGAAGGTGTATTTTTTCCTACTCCTATTTGTGTTCATACTTCGGAGTTCAACTCGTCATATGGCCTCCCCGCACCGGAATATGGGCTTGATGCCGATTGGGCTAGCATATGGAATATACTCCCGACAGATTATTGGGCTGGGTATCAAATTTTACATCCTAGCACTCTCCACAGGAACCCAATTTCCAAAGGGGCAATTGAGTTATTGCCCTACTTCGATATCCAAAATTGATTTTGCCCATGTTTTTTATTTTTTCGATTTTACCCCTAATTTTTTGAAATGAAACAGTCGTTTGCCCATGTTCCGTTAATTCTTACTAACCGTGTTAAATGTAGGGGTAAAAAGACAAGTATATCCTTAGATATTTTCCTGTACTTTTGACATAATCAAAATACAAATCTATTTGATGCCATACTATAGCAGTAAATTTATCAAAATTTTGTGAAAGTTTGCCAAAATTTGGGACAAATTTGAAAGTGGTGTACAAAAGTACCGGAAATTATCCAAGGGTATACTTGTCCTTTTTACCCCACATTTAACACCATTAGCAAGAATTAATGGAATATGGGCAAACGGCTATTGCGTTTAAAAAAGTAGGGGGAAAAACGAAAACCCTAAAAAGGCAAAATCAATATTGGACCTCGAAGTAGGGGCCAGAATGAAATTGCCCCATTTCTAAAAGGCTATTTTAAATCGGAAAAGGTCTGATCATTCCTCAAAAATAAACTGTGTATAGAGCGTCTCACAACTATCAAAACCAAATCAAGTCCCTCGGTTGTTTTAGCGGTGATTTTCTCCTACGTGGCATCTACATTGATCTATTTTTTATTTGATGCAACACTTATGTGTGATTACCGCTAAAAATGTGATGGGATCTATATGTCAGTGCAAAAAAAACTCAAAATAATCTGTCACACAAATGTTAGCCACATGTAAAAATTATTTTTTTTTAAAAAAAATCTCTATTCCCTCTCCCTCCTCCTTGGTCCTCCCCTCTCCATTCTTGCCCCGTCCACAGTGCACCAACAACACCACTGTGCGAGACCGCGCGCCCCAGCGAGTCTACCTCTGTGTGGGACCAATACGACCTCAGCATCGCGCCAGCACCATTCTACGCTACAAGATTGTCATGCGTGTAACTAATGCGGTTGCGTCTGCTTACACCCCCTTACTCTTTTTGTGCGAGTTCGGCATGCCCAGCTCTGCTCGAATAACTTTTTCTTCCTAGATGCCCAGTTCGCCTTCATGTAACCCAATGCGTCAGCCTCCTTCTACCGCCGGCCCCGACCGGGGTACCAAGGAGAGAGGTAGAGATACTTTTTTTCTCATGTGAGTGATATGGGTTCCATAAATTCATTCAATTTTTACGATATAATTACCACTCACGTGTGGGTCTTTTTTTATTTTCTTATTTTTCTCAATGACAATAAATACATGTAAGCGCTACGTCAGACGAAAACTAGGTCAACTTCTCACATAGATACCATGTAGAATGAAACCGTCAAACGACTGGATTTACACTTGTGTTTTGATAGTTTGTGGGCGCTATATACACGTAGGGGTGGGCATATTTAGACCGAACCGAAAAACCAAACCGAAAAGACCGAGACCGAAAAGACCGAGACCGAGAAATTCGGTTATCTATTCGGTCCCAGCCCTCAAAAGACCGAATTTATTTCGGTCATTTCGGTTATTAGGCTCGATCGGTTAACCGAATTAACCGAAATGACCGAAATTTTGGCCCAATAGACCTAGGAAGCCCAATAAGCCCACTAAAATAAACCCTAGAAGTGATACTAGCCCTACTACTAGTGCAGCCTCCTCCTCCAGCCCCCACCACGCCGCCGCCTCCTCCTCCAGCCCCCACCGCGCCGCCGCCGCCGGCTCCACCCTCCACCGCGCCGCCGCCGCCTCCACCCTCCCCTGCGCCGCGGCCCGCCTCCGCCCTCCACCGCGCGGTCGCCGCCGCCGTCCTCCACCGCACGACCGGCGCCGCCGTCCTCCACCGCGCCGCGGCCGATGCCGCCGTCCTCGACTGTGCGGCGGCAGCCGCCGTCCTCCACCGCGCGGCGGCCGACACCGTCCTCCACCGCACCGCGGCCGGCGCCGTCCTCCACCGCGCCGTGGCCGACGCCGACGCCGCCGTCCTCCACTGCGCCATGGCCGCTTTTTCGTTCCAAACTCTCCTCAAAAATTTCGGTCAGACCGAGACCGAGACCGAATTTGCCGGTCCTGAGTTTTTTTGGATGAAATTCGGTCCTGAGTTTGCGAAGACCGAACTGACCAAAAAACCGAAGACCGAGACCGAATTTTTCGGTCTGACCAAACGCCCACCCCTATATACACGGATTTACGGTGAGAAACACGCATAAAAACATGGACTTTTTCATTTTAAATGCATTTCTAAAAAGACAAGTATATGACGTCATCCAATTATCATCATAGTACTCTTTAACTAATTTTCTATGACAAATTAAACTTCAAAGCAGTTTACCTCACATATCCTCCAACTTCTAAACTAGACCTCTTAATTAATTAGCAGGCCCCTTATCCATAGTGGTAACACATACAAAATGTGAAGAATATGGGTACCAGGTATCTACATGGCCTGTCTAAACAACTAGGGATAGGAGGTGGACCATATCCATATACTATGTAATAAAGTCCTCAATTGCCATGTTGCCTTATATCACACGGCAAGGTATAGATACTGGCTAAATAATACCTTGAAACAGAAGTCGAAGTCGTATCTAAATAGGTTTTCCATTTTTATAACCGCCAATCTATGTAAGGTGGGCAGGTGGGCAGGGAGCCCCTTAAGGGCAACCCAGACATAACATTCAGAAACTGGCAGATACAATCCAACAAACATGAGTAGGGCTAAACCTTGAGAGGGCCAAAACCTATATAAATCTTTATTTCCTGCATCCATCCACTTTTAGATCCCGTACACTATCTCCTTTATTATTACCAATAAAAACACTGGCACAAAACGGTATTGTTAAAAAACTGTCACATGTTTTTTGGGCAAAAAAACTTTCAAATGTAACTGTAGTATAGTTGTAGTATAACTACAATGTAATTACACTATAGTTACATTGTAACTACAGTGTAATTGCACTGTAACTATATTGTAATCTCTATATAATTTAGATATAAAGTTGCATATATTATTTTAATACTTACATACAAGATATTATAGTTATAGTTTAATTATATTACAATTATATTATAGTTAGATTTGAAAGTTTTCCTTAAAAACTTACAGCAGTTTTTTAGATAGTCCCACACAAAATTCCAATAATCATTATACTGGAGTAGAAATGTACCTACTCCTCACTGTTGCCTTATATAATCACACCACAGTCCACACTGCCATCACAACTCACAAGTGACCATCTCTCTAACAAGCAAACCCATGCACACAGCTGATGGGCAACATGCTAACATGCTTGGCCAATTATTCCACAGCCACTTCAACCATGAACACCACCATCCGGCCACAGAATTCTCACTGCTCCATCGAGCTTCTTCTCACAAAAACCATCCACATCATGAAGCGGCGGCGCCGACGACGGCGCCGCAATAACAACAAGGAGACACCACCGGTAGGAGATCGCCGGAGAGCGCCGCCGCAGAGCGCCATGGCCACCCCAAGAGCTCTGTTTCTTCAGAGGAAGATTCGTGATGGCAGCGAGAAGAAGCAATTACCTGCAGCAGCAGGCGTCGTCAGGGTCAAGGTCGTCCTGACGAGGAAACAAGCGGCGCGGCTCGTCTCCCTCGCCGGCGAGGGGAGGAGGAGGAGGACCGCCGCGCAGCTTGTCCGCGAGCTGAGGAGGATGGAGGACGGCGCCGGCCGTGTCGATGGCTCGCCGGCGACGGCGACGGCGACGGCGTGGAGGCCAGTGCTCGAGACCATCTCCGAGGAGTGGTAATAATGTCAAATGTATTATGTATAAATAATGTGTGTTTGTGCATGCTTGTACAGTGTGCATGCCTGCATGTTAGTTATGTAGTAAGATTCTTTTTTCTTTGTATGGTTTGGTCGTCAATTTAGGTTGGGTTCAGAGGTGAGGTAAACAGCACAATATCTACTATCCCTCCCATATGTATGTACCCAGATTCGTGAGACATATTACATGGTAAATTGGTCATGGACAGGTGGATATAATGTTCATCATGCTGGGAGACGGAAAAAATAAGAAACAAGAGGATATGTTGTCTACTTGTCTCGAAGAATGAAAACACTTTCCCATCACGCTGTGGTGCTAGCTACGGAGTACTAACTAGATACTGTATTTCCCTTCTTTCTGTCCTTGAACTTCTGATTTGTTCTTCATATGTCATCACTACTGGAGAAACTATCTTTTTTCGTGGGTTGGCCAAAAATCACAATAATCCTGGTCCAAAAATCGAGACTAAAAACCATTTTTAGTCCCGATTCAAAAGCCCGGGGATACGTTTTATCTTTAGTGTCCCGGTTGTTTATACCAACGGGGACCAAAATTGAAATAAAACGGATTGAAAAAAAAGGCAGCCGCACTCCCTTGGCAACCGCGCGTCTCGAGTCTTCTTATCCCTTCGCTACTACTCATCCTCTTCTATCCGATTTCTTTCTCTCCTTCTCACTCCTCTCCTCCTCCTCTCGATTTCTCTCCTCTAGAGTGCAGGGCGGCGGCAGGCCGTGGCGGGTGGTGGTGCACGGCGGGTGGGCGGGCGGAGGGGACGACGGCGGCAGGCGGAGGGGAGGGCGGTGGCAAGCGGTGGGCGGGCGGAGGGGAGGATGGTGGCAGGTGCAGGGTGGGAGGGCAGAGGGGTGCGCAGCGGCAGGCGGCGGCCTGGCGGGCGTAGGGAAGGGCGGCGATGGCCCGGAGGGGTCATTGGCAACCACCGAATGCTGCGCCGGATATGACGATGTGTTGTTTTTGTGATATACTTTTAAATGTGTGGTGCTGTTGTAGATTTATTTTATTGATGTTTTTGTGAATTTGTGAATGATTAATTTTTGTTGTTGAGTATGTGAATCTGTGATACCAATTATCTGTGAATGTTTATTTAATCTGTGAGTTTGGTGCGAAATCAATATGCAAACAAAAAAACAATGAAAAAAAAACCTTTAGTAGATGGTAGTGTCACGTGGGGGTGCTAACATCTTTAGTCCTGGTTGATGTTATCAATCGAGACTAAAGATCTATTTTTAGTCCCGATTATTTTAAACGTTTCGAATTGGTAGTCCCAGATAAGTACCCAGGAGTAAAAGAGGTTCTGAATTGGAAGTAAAGATGGGTTTTCCGAAATGTTAGTGTTGTTTGGTGAGCACAATACGGTTTGTACTACAGATCGATCTAGAGAATTATTTGCATTATTTAATGAAACGGATAAAACTTCTGCCATGCATCTTTGTTCCAAAATATATGTTTCAAATACAAAAAAAAAACAATTACTCTATTATAAATTGAGCGTGCAAAATGTATCTTGTTTTGTTTATGGGTTAGCTAGCCTAACTTACTAATTCTCTTGTATATATGCACGCTTTGGCTTCTTCGTAGCATCAACACTTTGCAGGGTTGGTGGACTGATCGAAACCATAACAAATGCTTACATTTTTAATGGTGAAGAAGCGTAACTTATGGAATTGGTTTATAATTGATTAATTTAATTTTGTAGGAGCATGTACGCATAATTTTTGTTTAATTTGCTTTGGAAGAAGACAGAAACGGCGTTGTATAGTAGTACGTGTGTTGGTAGTAGTGGGCTAAGAGGAATCTCTCGTTAATTTTGTCCTTGCTGAGTGTTGTGGTTGTTGGTTGATTGAGTTGGTACGTAGCGCATGGACAGACAGGGGTCAACAGCGAAACTTAACATTAATTGTTTAATTAATTAGCAAAAGATTTGTTTAATCTTTCACATTTACTACTAGTATGTAGCAAGTGGTGGCAGGAAGTTGTGCATACGTACGTGCAGATTCTTTCCCTGTAGAATGGGGGATAATGTTAGGTTATATGATGTATTTTTTGTGATGTTTAGTTTCTAAGAAAATGATAGCTTATATTATATTGGATTCGATCAGGGCGTAGTTAGCTATAGAGTAAATTCCCTGTGTATCCCTGAAAACTCACTTAATCCCTTTCATGCCCCTGAAATTTACCCGTCCCTTCAATACCTCTAAAATTTCAACCTCATCTCTTTCATGCCCTTACCGTTACATTTTTATTCATTTCACTATTACGTTTGGTGCAAATGTCTTTTTTACCCTTGATGCTTTAAGTTTAAATATAAGCTTGAAAAATGATTGAAAATTTTATTTGAGTGCACAGTATGTGCATTTTATAAAACTAATGGGACTAAATAATTAGTGCAGAAAATTTTGACATAAATTTTGAAAATAAAACAAATGTAATAAATTAAATTTTTTATTTGAAATTTTAATAAGACAATGGATTTTTTTTATCGGGAGCATTCATACAACAATTATTGTGAGCACGGGTAGTCCTATCTTTCTAGGAATGCTTCTCTTTTTTATGACTTTTTTTAAAAAATAAATACATATTTTTTTATTTCATTATCTAAAAATAAATTTTAGGATAAATAATGCACCGCACAACAAACTCATAACTATAATAGTCTCATGCGACAAACTTTTATATTTTTGATAATGTAATTAATAAATTTCTATGTTTATCTAAAGAGTAAAATAGTTATTTTTATAGAAATTAGACAGCCAACTAACGGTTAAATGACGGCATGGGTATGGAAGGGATCAAAATCAAATTTTGAGGGTACATAAGGAAGTAAATAAAATTCAGGGGCATAAAAGGGATTAACTAAAAATTCAGGGGTATACAAGAATTTTCTCATTATAGAGTATACAAGGGATTTTCTCTTAATTATAGCGGGGTTAGGAGCAATTAGAAACAGTTATGTAATAAGAAAAACAGTGCTTGCGTATTAGTGAACCAAAAACAGTGATTGCGTATTACCCTGCCAGGGTATACATACCCTGCTTCATCAGAAGGGAGATAAGAAATTAAGAAATAATGATAGATGAACGAAACAGATGACGTATAGTCCATAGCCATCAATCCCATTATTAATTAGCAAAAGTGCAAAACAACTGCACAAGTGACGTATTGTAGTACCATAGTCGTCCACGTCGGCAAAAATTTCGGGTATCACGGTCAATTTACTATTCGTTTGGCAAGTTTGACACCGCAAATTTGTGGAATTAGTTACGAGATTATGGTGAAACTTAGTTTTGGCTTTGCTCTCAGAAGTCACGAGGCAGAAAGTTGCTGAGATTTGGCAGTTTTCTCAATTTTTTTAAGCATTAATCTTGGCTAACAGGCAACATGATCGAGTTACGTACACTACTAAGCATACGTCCACTGTCCACAAAACACAAGGATATATGCTTCACTGTGTACTTACACTGTAGGGTTTTCTTTAAGAAAAAAAAAAGGCGATAAGAACGAGAAATTTGTCTCCTTATCTGTTGGACCTATTATTTTCAATGAAAGATAGCCAATGATAACTAAACGAATGGATGATTCATAATTGGTGGCGATGACGATGGTAATGATAATTATATATCACATTTAATAATAGGAGTTCATGGTTAACTCAATGTGTATACAGTAGCATTAGCATCTCTAGCCACTAGCAGCCAGTTTGAGGTCGTGTTTTTCATTTTGTGTTTTTGGACTATAGCATGCAGTTATATATTGTGCTTACCTGCTCAAAGATAGGTCCTCGTTTTGAAAATATGTTGCGATACTTTTTCAATAAATTTGGTTAAAGTTAAATGAAGTTTGATTTATAAAAAATTCAATGCATTTTATGTTATGAAACAAGTAGAGAAGCGACTAAAGCTGGCATTACAAGCTGATTACATAGATTGAGGACATACAGAATCAGAAACATAACTCGGTAATGCCAACATTTTAAGAGAAAAAGGAATAAAGTTAAGTCACCAAATGTGCTAACAGCCCGGCACTATAGCTACTTCAATTTTGTGAGATAAAGGAATGGGACAAATTTAAACGAGCATGCCTGTTATTTGTTGGGATGAGGAAATAGGTAGAGAAATTAAAAAAATGATTGTGATTAGCTGAAACGATGAAATAGGTGGAGAAGTAGTTATATTATAAGATAAAATTTGGATGCTATAAGTAACTACATAAGGACGGAGGTACGTAGTAGTATTGTTTATGGGAAAATTGCTTTAACGTTGCTCACTAATAATTTTTGGATTATCAGATTTATTGTACGAGAATTGCATGGTTATGATTAGTATGTAACATACTTGGATAATATGTTACATTGTTACATATATTCAAATACTTACATATTTGTTGCTAAAATAAGTGATCAGATTTTGAATACGAGCAGTAGTGTTTGGTGGAACAAATAGTTACTATTCACAAGCCATCCACCAACAACTATGGTTTCACTTTCAAAATCGCAAAACTACTTAAGAAAGCAAATGAACAATCTCGAGCCAAAATGTATAGATAGTGTTTCTTTTTAGCACATACAAAGATGAAGATAAATTTCACTGTATGTCGAGTGTGCGTACCTTTTCAAAATTTGCCATTATGTTCGTCCATTTTCAGAATTTGTCACTGAGGATATAAATTTCTTCGTACCATTCATTTTGCTTGTCAGCCGCAAGCACCATCCGTGCACACCAGCACCATCATGACACCCCACGGCAAGGAGCCATTCCACACGCTACTGTTGTAATATTAACAACGCCATGAACAGCGACAAGAGGCCCAACCACTACTCACAACCGGCGGCACCACCCATGGCATCCAGAACCACTGGAGAGACAGAAGGACGACATACAAGATCTAATCGAATAGGCCTTCCATCATAGACTCGCAGCGCGTGTAAAGCGAGGCGGTGCCAAGGATATATGTGGTGGCCGGTAAGTGGCAGGTTGAATGATGTCGTCCCCATCCACCACCAACTTGTGTGTCTCTGTACATGTATTCACCAACCAACCATAGCGGTATGACAACTGTGTAGCCTAGTCATCGTAGTAGCCAATGCTTGCCATGCCTGCACCTCCTCCTCCTCCTCCTGCTTCTTTATCACAGGATCTAGAAGAGGGGTGCTTGGAGTGCGGGGTGTGCTATCAATGATGGTGGGGCAACTAGGATGTGATGCTGATGGATTGGAATTGAAAGAGAGGGTGCACCTTCAGGGCTCGTGCAGCGGTGGTGCATGAGTGGGGTGCTTTCTTCACCTTAGGCAACTAGGATGCCGTCGGGGATGAGAGTGATGGTGGACGGACGACGCTGGTGCTGATGCTAGCGAACAAACGAAGTGACTGATGAACATGATGTTGGATGTATGGGATGGCACGGGGCGAATGAATTCGCATTCCTAGTGGAAAATTTTTTTAAAAAAAACACGTGAATTAGGTGGCAAAAAATATTGAAAGACGTGGATATTCGGTGGCAAATAGTGAGGCTCCTCTGATTTGTAGGAAAACCTGGGAAACTTGGAGGAATCAAATCCTATATGAAAAAAATCCTAACAAGTTGGATCAAATCATATCCTTTTCTTTAAATTTCCTATGGAAGGAATCATCCTATAAAAATTTTGGATCAAAATAAGCTTGATGTTCTCCTTGACGTTTTCTTCTTTCTATAACCCCAAATTTTTGGAACTATCAAGTGATTTTTGTTCCGTAGGAATTCAATTGGCATGATATTCTATTTCTACTTTTTTTTTCTATTCATGTGTTTTAAAGGGGCAGGAAATTCCTTCAAAGATGAATGGGAAATGCTCTATCTGTTTTCGTCGTTGGAAAGCGTAATCGAGAATGCCGTTAGCTATCCGAAGGCATCGCCGTCGTCTCCACTCTTTCCCGCCACGCCATGGCTGCCGCCGTCGCCGCCCTCCCCGGCAAGCTCCCACGGCAGCCGCCGCCGCCGCCGCCTCCACCTTCACCTCCCAATTCGACCTTCCCGCGCTACCCGAAGTCCTTGGCCGCACACCCCGCGCTCTCCTCGAGCCACCCCTCCGACGTGTCGGCGCTGCTCGCCGCCGCCGCGCGCGCCGGCGACCTCCGCCTCGGGCGCGCGCTCCACCGTAGGCTCCTCCGCGGGGACCTCCTCGACAGAGACGCCGTCGTCGCAAACTCCCTCCTCACCCTCTACTCCAGGTGCGGCGCCGTGGCCTCCGCGCGCAACGTGTTCGACGGAATGCGCGGCCTGCGGGACATCGTCTCCTGGACGGCCATGGCGTCCTGCCTCGCGCGCAATGGCGCGGAGCGGGAGTCCCTGCTGCTGATCGGCGAGATGCTCGAGTCGGGGCTACTTCCAAATGCTTACACACTGTGCGCCGTGGCACACGCATGCTTCCCCCATGAGCTCTACTGCTTGGTCGGAGGTGTGGTCCTTGGGTTAGTACATAAGATGGGACTCTGGGGCACAGACATAGCAGTGGGCAGCGCATTGATTGATATGCTTGCAAGGAATGGGGATCTGGCATCGGCACGCAAGGTGTTTGATGGATTAATCGAGAAGACGGTAGTCGTCTGGACGCTTCTGATTTCGCGCTATGTTCAGGGCGAGTGTGCAGAGGAGGCTGTTGAGATTTTTCTAGATTTCTTGGAAGATGGCTTTGAGCCCGATAGGTACACCATGAGCAGTATGATTTCGGCATGTACAGAGCTGGGATCAGTCAGGTTGGGGCTGCAACTGCACTCTCTCGCACTCCGAATGGGGTTTGCATCTGATGCTTGTGTGAGCTGTGGGCTTGTGGACATGTATGCAAAGTCAAATATAGAACAGGCAATGGACTATGCTAACAAGGTATTCGAAAGGATGCGGAAGAATGATGTCATATCATGGACTGCACTAATATCAGGATATGTGCAATCTGGGGTTCAGGAAAACAAGGTTATGGTGCTGTTTGGAGAGATGTTGAATGAAAGTATCAAACCAAACCATATAACATATTCCAGTATTCTTAAGGCCTGTGCCAATATTTCTGACCACGATTCAGGCAGACAGGTTCATGCTCATGTTATCAAATCCAACCAAGCTGCTGCACATACTGTTGGGAATGCTCTAGTCAGCATGTACGCTGAATCAGGCTGCATGGAGGAGGCTAGAAGGGTATTCAATCAACTCTATGAAAGGAGCATGATTTCCTGCATAACTGAGGGAAGAGATGCTCCTCTAGATCATCGGATTGGAAGGATGGACATGGGCATCAGCAGTTCCACATTTGCTAGTCTAATCAGTGCTGCTGCCAGTGTAGGTATGCTAACCAAAGGTCAGCAATTGCATGCCATGACACTGAAGGCAGGATTTGGATCTGATAGATTCGTAAGCAACTCCCTTGTTTCCATGTATTCTAGGTGTGGTTACTTGGAGGATGCTTGCCGATCCTTCAATGAACTGAAGGATCGGAATGTGATCTCATGGACTTCAATGATCAGTGGCTTAGCAAAGCATGGCTATGCAGAACGAGCACTTTCATTGTTTCATGACATGATATTAACTGGTGTGAAACCAAACGATGTCACTTACATTGCAGTGTTGTCTGCCTGTAGTCATGTTGGTCTAGTGAGAGAAGGGAAAGAGTACTTCAGATCAATGCAGAGGGATCATGGACTCATACCAAGAATGGAGCATTATGCTTGCATGGTTGATCTGCTTGCAAGATCAGGCCTTGTTAAAGAAGCCCTTGAATTCATTAACGAAATGCCACTGAAAGCTGATGCATTGGTTTGGAAAACTCTTCTCGGCGCTTGTAGGAGCCATGACAATATTGAGGTAGGTGAAATCGCTGCTAAGAATGTCATAGAGCTTGAGCCACGAGATCCAGCTCCATATGTCCTTCTCTCAAACTTGTACGCTGATGCTGGTTTATGGGATGAAGTTGCAAGAATAAGGAGTGCAATGAGGGACAACAACTTGAACAAAGAAACTGGCTTGAGCTGGATGGAAGTTGAGAACACCACTCATGAGTTTCGAGCTGGTGACACCAGCCATCCGCGAGCACAAGACATCTATGGTAAGTTGGACACATTGGTCGGAGAAATCAAAGGAATGGGCTATGTGCCGGACACAAGCATTGTGCTCCATGACATGTCGGATGAGCTGAAGGAGCAGTATCTGCTTCAGCACAGCGAGAAGATTGCCGTGGCATTTGGTTTGATTACTACTTCAGCACCAAAACCAATCAGAATATTTAAGAACCTCCGTGTTTGTGCTGATTGTCATTCTGCAATCAAATATATGTCCAAGGCCACCAGAAGAGAGATAATATTGAGAGATAGCAACAGGTTTCACAGGATGAAAGATGGGGAATGCTCGTGCGGAGAATACTGGTGAGCTGCACAGCGCAGGTTTGTCTTTGCTAATGATCCTGATCCAGGCTTAACACAGTGAAGCTTTTCTTAGATAGTTGTAGTTCATAATTTTTGTAGTTGCTTTGTATAGTTCATAATTTTTTAGTTGCTTTCTGTTTTGTACAATCACATGTTGGCTACAGACTTGTTGTGTTGGTTTGTCAGACTGCTACATGATTTGTACAGTTACATGAATAAATAATTTTTATTTCGGCAGAATTCTCTACTCATCATGTAGTACTTATTTCTGTAGCTTAATATTTTTCTGAAATAGTCGCCTGATTCATAAATGCTGACGGCTTTAAGAACACAGGGCAACTTTTTTGTTTTTAAAATGAATATCGCTAATATGTCCACAGCCAAACAGTTCAACGTTAGAGGGAAATCTAATCTCAGCATTCCCCTTTATTGTGTACCGTAGAAAACGTCCAGAGATAATTTAGTAGATAAAGAGTTTTGATATGATTTATATTGCATATAACATCCTAGGAAATACAGACAAGCGGACATGTAAAACAATACAAGATGAAAGTAACCAAGAAAATTGCTGGAAAAACTGCTGGTTCGATCAGCTACCGTCTTCAAACCCAAAAAGGAACAGGATGAACATATCCAGAAATATGTTCTAGGACCTCGCTTCACCAGAGCAAATTCATTTGATTTGGCCAACGGGCCAGAACCAACTTCATACAAAGGTGGAAGATGATCAAACATCAAACAGCACCACAGATCCCAAAGCATCAATAGTTTAGATCCATGTTTTCAGCCATCAACCAGATGGAAATGCCTCAGGAATGGATGGAAGACCTGACCGAAAACATTCTTCCATTCATATTTTCTAACAGGTCGTCAGACTGATCTTCGCAGTTCTGGTGGAAGTTGCGCAACATGCATTGAAGAATTTGATTTAGCTTGGTGTTGAAGCTCCATCATTTCTTCCTTGCTGTACTTTATTCTTTCATCTGTCATAGAATTTATACAAACTTACAGTCAATATACTCTTAATTGCATGGCTTCATCTGAGATGTATTCCTAATCAAAAGAGAAAATCCCTTACCTACAAAGCAGATTTCAGCAAGTCTACTTGGGCCAGCCGAACTTTTTGCCACTTTTGCTTTTACCTGTTGAGGTTGTCTAGAGGACTTGTGAAGATGCGAAGTACCACCATAATTTGCCTGAAGTTCCTGTATAAGCTCATGTCTCACTTCAATCACAGGGTGACACGTACAGAATGCTGAAATTGCATCTCCTGTTAAGATCCAACAGCCGCTTAAATCCAACATACGCAGCGTGGCAGGGGGAACAAACTTTCTAAGCCCAGTGGTGGACAATATATTCCCACAGAACCCAAGATGTATCAAATTTGAGGCAGAAGACAGTGCATGCAAGGCAGGATCAGACAAGAAATCACTTTTTAGGAACAAATATTTCAGTGCTCTAAGGGATGCTAAGGGAGGTATAACATCATCCATCAGCTGTGTATTATTCAAATTTAGGCTTTCCAGGTATTTGAGTTCTTCAAGCGCAGAGAGAGACAGTACTTTCACAGAGTTTTCCATCATGAAACCTGCAACATGATTAAAATGAGTTACTCGAAGATGAGGTACACTGATATTATCATATAAAATGCTGGGCAAGAGAATCACAACCTTTGATACATGTGCGACTCAGGTTTAAAATTCTCAGTGAAGGCATCATGCTTATGTATAATAAAGCAGAATCATCAATTTTTGTATGAGCTAAAGACAGTGTTGTCAGACTTGGAACTGTTCCTGCCAGAACACACAGTGCTTGAGAAGTTACTTCAGAATTACTCAGGCTCAAAAACTTAAGGTTCATTCCAATATTTGCAATATATTCAATTGCATCGCTAATTATTCTGCTGTAGCTAAGGTCCAAGTGCTCTAGATTCCTCATATTTCCCAAGAAATACAAGTTGCTTGAAGAGCAACTTGACATATCCAAGTATGTCAGTGAACTTGGTAGGATGCTTGAAAAAACTTCATCAATGTTGCCAAATGATGCTGCGGAGATAATCAACTTTTCCAGATGAATAAGAACTTGGAATTCCCCATTGCAAATAGAATGAATTGTGCAGTTGCTCATATTTAGACACCTCAAGGTCGGAAGAATTGGTAAGCATGTCACACGTGTCCAAGAAATATTCAAGAAGCTCAAAGATGTAAATGCAATAAGGACAGAAGCTCCCTCATTGGTAATTTCACTGCCCCATATATCAAGGTGCTCGAGCTGTGTCAATACCTAGAGAAAAATTCAACTAGGAAAAGTTTATACCCAATAGATATCATTAAAAACAAATCACCAATTACTAGCATGCTGACAGCCTAACATGAACATACCAAATTAAAAAGAAAAAAAATAAAGACCATATGATGATGTTGAAATTTTGTTCCTGAAACAAAATGGCTGTGCACCATGAGTATACATACCTGTAAAGACCGTAGTGCTTTGTCTGTGAAACGAACTCCCCCCAAATCTAATAAACGTAAGTTTATCAGCGACGAAATGGCCATAACTCCATTGTCAGTCAACCCGGTTTGCGAAACATGTAGCTTCTCCAAGCTTTCAATGGAAGCGATATGTTTGATGCCAGCATCAGAGATCTTGGAGCACCTTGACAAATCCAACTCTTTCAACGTACGCATACCTACATTATCATCACAAGAGTATCGCGAAAGCTAGTTCGATCGAGGTCTCCATGATAGATACAATCGTGATTGAGAAAAGCTTCAAGTATTGTACCGGAGAGCGCCCAGACCGCAGAACTGTTGACGTTCTTGCAATCCGCAAGCTTCAGAACCCTCAGATACCGGAATGCTCCTAGGTAAGCCAGCCACTCCGCGTCGACGGCGATGTGACCGCTCAGATCGATCTCCTCCACCGAGTGCTGGAAAACCCTGCACACACACGGATCAAGAATTCATCCACGCGCGAAACCAAACGGAGATTGATCCATCCATTTCGGCCCTGTAAGTGCCGGGGGGGGGGGGGAGGAGGAGGAGGAGGAATCGGGCGGTTACTCGAGGAGGGAAGGGAAGAGGAGGCGGCGGGCGGCGAGGCGGCGGAGGAGCGCGTCGGCGAGCTGCGCGGGGAGGCGCTCCAGGGAGCGGCGCTGGCGGCGCCACGCCTCCACGGTGGCGGCCCCGCCCGCCGCCGCGTCGATGCAGCGGTCGACCAGCGGCGTCTCGCCGCCGCCGCCGCCGCCACCGGCGGAGGCGGAGGCGGACGCCATGGGCAAGACGGCGTCGCCGCGGCGCGAGCTCAACGGGAGAAGTGGGGGGAGAGAGAGAGAGAGGATTGGATCCGAATTGACTCGTCGCCGGTGGCGAGAGGTTGGAGGAGGGTGGAAGCGGATGCTCTGACGTGGCGTGTATCCCGCGGCGTTGGCTTTCATCTCAGCCGTCCGTGTCCTTTCCTCCTGGAGAATGAAAATGCATTTAGGACAGCGAGATACGGTCTTCAAAACACAATTTTGACTTCTTGTTTCTATAAAAATATTTATTAAAAAGTTATATATGTATACTTTTATGAAAGCCTTTTTCAAGACAAATCTATACATATAATTTTTACATTTTCAAACTCAATAACTTGATAGTTATTCATGATTTATATTTTAAGGTTTAACTTAAATATTGTCATAAACGAGGAGTATGTTAGTGAGAAATTCCCTGGAGTGCTCCTCGCAACACACACGGGAAAATGTGAAACTTTCTTGTGTGATCGAGTTTTGCTCAATCCTTCACGTGTAAAAAAAACAAAAAACTGAAGGGAGAGACATATCTTCTTTTAAGAAGATATTGAACGGGTTAGGGATTAAACATAAGACCTCAGAGCCAAAACCACATACCCCTTTCCACTATACTATCAAGTGTACAACTCCAATTCTTCACATATCACAACTTATTTGGATAATGAAAAATAATTCTGCCCTTCAGCTTGAAATCTCAATCCACAACTTATTATATTATAAAGTTGAGCATTTAAGTTGTAGCGAAAAGTCATGCATAACAGAAAACCAACATTGTTTAAGATGAAGAAGATAAACAAGCAAAAGTCTTTTGCTAAATATCCGTCTATGGCTGACGAAATTTTGTATCACTAATATCAAGAATACGGTATGTCACATGTTTGCATAGATTTATCTTTATCACACTATTGACACCTAAATTTAGTACCATTATGAAATTTGATTGGATTTAGAAAGATCATATCTTTCCGTTGAATGTCAATCTAACCGTCCATGTATGGTAGGTCTACCCGGTCTATCATACATGGGCAGTTAGAATGTGAATTTCTCATAATAACATTTGATACTTTCTTAGGATAATCAAAGATATACCATTGACAAACGTTCAAATTTAAGAAATGCGCGCCATCGATAAATATGAGTTCTAAGAAATGTCATCATACAAACGATTTTATCCTAAAATTGTCATTGCCGCCGTTAGGGCTCCATCAATTTCACACTGTTAAATACACTATTTTAGGACAAAGAAAATATCAATTATTACTATTGTATTTTTATATTCCTTAAAAAGGAAGGTAATTTTAGTGTCACGTACCTCATAGAAGAAAGGTAATAATAGTGTTATGTATCTCCACTATGAACACCGAGTTTTAACTCCAAGTCAACCATTAGATAATAACAAACTCAGGAATTAATACAAGTGAAAGCATAGACTGTGAAGAAGCAAGGAATTTGGGAATAGGGAGAAGCACTAATGGTGTTCATGCATGACTCCATCCACCAGGGTTTAAATCCTAATGCCCAGAAATATTACGCACATATAACTGGACTTTCAACCAGATTATACTGAGATCAGAGATGTGCTGCTAGTTTTCATCTCTTAGGGCACCCACAATGGTTATCTATAAGCTCTCTACAAGAGATACATGTCGGCATATTTTCCTACTTGGAAGAGATTAAATGAAGAGAGAGAGCAAAGCTATCTACTAACCTGGAGATAGTCTATAGAGAAAAACGAGGCAATGGATTAGAGAGCTATAGATACCCATGTAGACATACTATTGATGTGATTTACTATTAATCTAGTCTATTGCTGAGATGTATATGTTTTATAGAGAGCACCTTACTTTACCATTGCGGGTGCTCTTAGAGCATGTGTTAGGAGACGCATTCTTTAGGGTGTGAGTGTGATGTTGTGTGTGTAGTGGTGTGTGCGCGTTTGTTGTGAAATTAAAAAAAGAGGATTTTAGGAATTAGGGAATGGATAATAGAGTTTAGGGTGGAGACTGGATAGAGCACTGCTACACTGGCCCACTGGGGAAGGAAGACGAGAACCCAATTCTGTTGCTGCTGCTGCCTCTTTTTCATAGCTTCGACGTTGCTTGTTTGGGCCCCAGCCCAAAGACCGTGACAAAGGGCGTATGTTATCAGAATTTATCGCAATTAAATGAAGATAGTAGCTCAGTCGCATATTAATAGTTACTTAATTAAACTTGATAGGGCAAAAGGAGGACGATGAACAACTAAATCTCATCTCTCCAAACCCCTAAAATCATAGTATTCGAGGAGGAAGAGGATGAGTATACGTACTCGCGTTCCTTGGACTCTTCTCTACTTCCTCCAAATAACCACACTCTACTCTCTCTCTACCACAAATTACCATTTCAGAATAGTTGAGTACTTGAGTTCATTTCAGACCAGTTTGTAGCCGGTGACCCAGATGTTCGCCGGCGCCGGCGCCGGCTGCACGTACACGAACCTGAGGCTCCTCCCCGGCCGCAGCGCCGGCAGCCACCTCGGCGGCACGTACCCGTACCTCGCCTCCTCCAGCCCCCACAGCCGCCCCCGGAGCCCCGACACGCCCAGGTGCAGCTCCCTCACCGTCTTCCCCCGCGACCTGTTCGTCACCGTCACCGCGTACCGGTAGTACGTCCTCCGCCTCCTCGCCCACGTCCCCGTCACGTTCTGCTCGATCCCGATCGCCGTCGCCGTCGCCGGCAGCGACGACGACGACGACGTCCGGTTCACGACCGGAGTCGCCGTTTCTTGTTCGTATTCCTCCTCCTTGAGGCCGCCGCAGGAGGCGGCGAGGCGGGCGAGGACGCCGAGCAGCGGCGCGTTGTTGTAGGTGGCGGCCTCCGTCTGCTCGTAGTTGTCGCGCTCGTCGGCGAAGTCGTCGTACTCGTCGGGCCCGCCGACGACGGCGCCGTCGAGCAGGTTCGGGTTGCCGGCTTCCCTCCCGTACCACGACGAGTACCCCTCCTGGCAGCTCACGAACGACGGGTCCCTCTTGATGGACACGATGGACGCGCCGCGGTGGTGCACCTGCCGCGGGTAGCTCGCGCCGTACCCGACCATGTAGCTCGTCCCCCTCGGATTATCACCCAAAATATAATTCACCTGAAATCAATTCGACAAAATTTGAGTAATTCGTCAACCACATTTGACAATGTTTTTTTTTTCTCGTGAAGTGGAAGCGGTGAGAGTATTGCCGAATATATTAGAAGGACAGAGTTGACCCTGTTTATAAGGAAAACCGGCTCAAAAACCATACAATTGCACGGCCTTTGACAATGTTTTTGTTTGTTTTTTACCTGAGATTTGACGAATTTGAGGATGTCGAATGGTTGGGCGGCGCCGGCGGGGCAGTGGACGGCGCCGCGGCCGGAGATGGCGGCGAAGTCGGCGTAGACGGTGAGGAGGAAGGAGGCGCTGGTGACGAACTGGAGGTTGTTCCACCTCTGGTGGTACATCATGCCGCCGGGGGTCCTGGCGACGTTGACGGCGCCCTTGCCGACGCAGGAGCACACAAAGAACTCCGCGTTCTGCCTGTACCTCTGCAGCGCGGCGGCGTGGTCGCCGGCGCGGCCCTGGAGGAGGAACTTGGCGGCGAGGACCTGCACGCCGGGGTACTTGACGTCCCACCCGAACTGGTTGATGGACCACCCCGTCCCGCCCAGCGCCTCGCCGTTGCCGGCGAGGTACTCCAGGTAGGACCTGTCCTCCGTCGCCTCGAACAGCCACGCCGCCGCCCAGAGCAGCTCGTCCTGCAGCAAGATCAGGTCATGTCAGCAAGGTGTTCGTCCGAATCCTACGGCGCCGCCGCCACGCCACTTACCCCGTATCCGCTGAAGGAGCCGTAGTAGTTTCGCGCCACCGTGATGCTGGCGTCGTACTTGCCCCGGTACTTGTCGGCGAACTCGAACAGCTGAACGCGCCACAAAATTTTCAGAGGAAATTTCGTTTGATTTCGAGCTCATTTGCGAGAGTTCTTGGAGTGTTTGGATGACCGACCTGCTTGGAGTGCACAAGGAGGAGGTTGGCGTAGCCAGGGTACGTGCCGCGGAAGACGATGGACGCGGCGGCCATGGCGGCGGCGGTCTCGGCGGCGAGGTCTGACCCGGGGTGCTGGGGGTCGACGCGGAACGCCTGGCGGCTCGTCGTCATGTCCTCCGGCCGCTGCCAGCAGCTGTGGTCGGTGTCGCCGTCGCCGACCTCGCCGTAGAGCACGTCGGGCTCCGGGTGCGCCTTGATGAAGTAGTCGGTGCCCCACTTGACGGCGTCCATGGCGTTCCGGAGCTCGCCGGCCGCCGCCATCTGCTTGCCGTACTCTAATATGCTCCACGACATCATGGTCACCGTGAACGCCATTGGCAACCCAAACTTGACATTGTCCCCTGCATCATAATAACCTCCAACAAGATCAACCTGAAAGACAAACAAAAACACAAACATTTGCATTGCACTCCATTAGAACCCAACTCATCATATCTCCTGAACAAATTGAACACAATGCCATTGATGGCATCATGGTTTTGATCAAAGATTTGAAGGTAGAATGGTGCATACTCCATTGGCCTTTCCATCAAAGAGGCCAGAGCTGGCTCTCCAGGAGACCCTCTGGTTAGGAGGGAGAACGCCGGACCGCTGCGCCTGGAAGTAGAGGATGCTCTTCCTCAATGCCATGGCATAGTCATGGCCACCCCCAGCAACAAATCCCAGCTTCACCATTGATGCAAGTGCCAAGAGACCAAACAATGTGGCTGCACCGTGAGCACCACCATTCTTGGCCATTGCAAAATTGCAATGTACCAAGAAGGTGAGTGAGTGAGAGTGAAGCAGAGTGAAGGAGCAGGGGAGCAGAGGACTTTGGTTGGCTTGGCTTGGAGGGAGCTCAAAAGAGTGCTTCTTATATACCACTGGAGTGGAGGGAAGATCAGATAAAGCAGGAGATTCAAAGCATGAGAAATAGTTTACTGAACTCCAGGGCCCCTTTCTCACTTTAGCAAGTTGTTGATGGCAAATATTATTCCAAATGCATGCAACTGATGAACTCCTAGGTAGGTTACATCCTCCTACAAAATGGCAAGTTTTGTCCATCTCTTTTTAGTAAACTACTGACTAATATAGCCACTTCTATGATTGATTATATTATTCATCGATGGTCACCATCTGTTGTGAGATATACACTGAAATGCGATAAGCAACATTAGACAGTGGCCACATAATCAGGGCATGTATTTTAGAAAGCTTTCATGAACTCCACAAAAGTAAACATTTGGTGAAAAACTGAAAATGAACATAAATCGGACTAAAGTTGCTAGATTGCCGATATAAAATCATGATATGATAGTTGTAATTTTACAGTTATTGTCACTGAGAAAAATTTTGTGATGTTATGGATAGTTAATAAATGGGATAAAGATAATTCAATTCCATTGAAAAATAAATAAGAAAGCTACATATTACAGAAGTTAACTTTGCATGCATATGCTTGAGAAACAAGCGATTCCTCGTGCAAAAGAACACCATAGGAACTACCAACTTTAAAAAGGAAATAATGCAGGCAATTGTCTTGCAATTTTGGGAGTATCTGTAAAAGCCAAAGAAAAGGAAAAGGTTAAAGAACGTCGTTTCTCTATAGAATGATCGTACCAGCGCTATCACTATTGATAATACTCTTGTTCTTGCAATATACATGTTTTTTTTATTATCATTTGTTTTCTAGCAGTTTACTGAAACTAATGCTCCATTTGAAATCCAAGTATAATATGCGAATTTCATTAGAAACAGTCTCCCACGTAGCCTAGCTAGGGAGTAGGGACTAGAAAATTTCCCAACTTCATATTCTTACAAAAGTATATTTCCATCCCTTAATTCCATCGGTATCTTTGATGATAGCTGACAAAATTCGCTCTATTTGAGGAAATTAGATCCCGATCTTTCGATAGGTATTGATAACTCTCGTGGAAACTTCACACACACGATCCAGCTTCTGATCAACATGATCCAAACTCTGGTTATCAGCCGTGCCCTACTCAGTTGACCTCGCCGAGAAGACTAATCCTTGTATGCAAATCGAAAAACACAAGCAAGAACAAGATAGATTGCAACACAATTGGATATGAATGACTAAGCACTCGAATTTGGGGTTCCACAAACCAAAGTAGCGGCGAAACTGCAATGGCAAAATAATCTAAGCAAAACCCGATTCTAAACTTTAACGACTACTGAATAAATATGATTTAGGACGTCCTAGGGTTGCCCTAGGGCGCACACCCCTTAGGCATAGCCCACAACACAAAAGTGACATAGTGAGGGTAGAAGTGGACTTGGAAAAGGTCTTGGTTTGGTCCCCAGTGAACTTCTTTGATTATCTATGCATTTCTTACACTTGGTCTCTTTTCCTTCATCCAAACAAGTACATTTGCAAACGATAACATACGAAACTCATTGTGTAGTAACATTTATTTAAATATATAACAAGTAAATCTAATATAAAACATATGCACCTTTGGTTGATGAATACATAAGGTAGTCATGGTCATATCTAAGCTAGTTGTGTCCTCATCACTATTAATGTGTGGTTGCTTTGAAATATTGTTACTTGGATTATTAGTATTTGTTTTTACGTTTTACCAACTATAGTTCATATTCTATGCCATATGTTAAAGACCAAAATTATTGTCCATAAACGAACATGAACAATGAATAATGAGTTTATTGTAACACAATTCATCCTTAATGCTTAATGAAAAAATATCTGTATTGTTTGCATCCTTTAAATTTTGAACTAATTAGTAGGGATGAAAACGGCTAGAAATGGTTGGAAACAATATCATTATTTTATTATATTTATGCAAATGGTTTAAAGTAGTCATGAAATTTCTATATTCATGAATTTAAGTAACTAATGTCAACTATAATGTGACACCGACAGAAATAAAAAAACTAAAATTTAAAACTGTAATGGTTGATAAAGATATTATTATTTTATTAGTTTTTTGAAAACGGTATCAGTATAGCCTGGACATTTTCACTCGTACTAATTAGGATTACTTTAGAACAAAAGAATTAAGAAACACATAAATATGATAAATTATACATTCACATTTCCTCTCCAATCTTACAGAACTGACAAAATTAGGAAACAATTAATTTTCTATGGTTGAAAGAAAAAAAAATAGATGATGTAAAAATAGAGAGAAGGAAGGAGATAACCTTAAGGCCCCTTTTAAAATGTGTGAAGATGATAACATATGAATAGAAAAAGATGAAGATTTTTCAAAAGAAAAAATGGAACAACAAAACTGAGGATTGTAAATGGTGAAAAACTTACGAATTTAAGTAGTGCTATAATAAATCAATGCACTGGGCCTGGTCGGGCTCAGTTTGAACATGCCAATAGAGGAGATTCCCAACTCATCCTCCTAGTTTTTCATAGGCACGCTTTCTAAACCACTGAACGGTGTGTGTTTTTTTAAGAAAAAACTCTATAACAAAGTTTGTTTAAAAAATTATATTAATCTATTTTTTAAAAAAATAGCTAATAATTAATCAATCATGCGCTAATAAGTTGCTCCGTTTTACGCGCGCGAGGCATGAGTTTCCAACTTCAAACATCGGAACACAGCCTCAAGGACCTTGCCAAAAAACAACAAACAAAATCCAATGATTTTTTGTTGTGGGGGTTTCTGAAGAACTTGTTTGGGTTGAAATCCAATGAATATGAGATGTTCGTTACGGTAAACCAGCAAATTGACCTGCTGTCTGCTGCAGCGCGTTCGATGGATCGATCGATCGACATGGCGCCGTTAGAGCAAGTATAATAGATGGCTATACGAAGGCTAAATGCTGAGGTGGATGAGGAAGGAGAGAAGAGAGATGAGAAGCGGGTTGTAAGTTTACAGCCGGCTTAGGCATAGGAACCAAGAAAATCTATGAGACAGACATGTGGACTATATATTTATAGTGAAGAGTTAACCACTATATGAGTAAGCTGGTAGATAGGCTATAAGTAAGCAGTTGGCTTTATTATTATGCTTGCTCTTAGTCCAGCCGCACCACCCCAATTTTCAATTCCGCCACTTTCGCGTCGTTTGATGCAGGTGGTGGCCGCGCGCGTGAACGCCGTGCGCGCGTAGCGTCTGGTCGTCGTCTCACCCCTCCCCCAACCCCGTCCCAAAGTGTGCTTTTCTGACTTGGGTAGCGGCCGGTTTGACAGAAATCAGGGCACGATCTTAGGAGCACCAGCGACAGCGATTGCGGCTGCCGCCCGGATAATACATGAGCTAATTCCACGCTGTGCCCCTCAACTTTTCTGTGCACTCGCCGTGTCCTGCGCCAGAAATGGGGACATACCCTCTTGTCTAGTGTCTAGTGTTAAGATTGTTAGTACGTACACCCTAGATTTCAACTTTGGCAAATGAACATCTTAGATGGTTTGGATTATTACTCCATCATTAACATGGTCAGTTATATGACAATGTTGATGATGAGTAACAATCCAAATAAAATGTTCTTGCTTATAATTAGGATGACATACGATATTTCAATAATATAGCATCCTTTTGAGTATTTGCAAATTTATTTTCTGTAGAAAAGACAAGTAGTCAAAGTTTAAAAACGAATAGTGTTGGCAGTTATTTAAGAAAATGGAGGGAGTATATACCAATTTCCTTTTATAAACAGATATACCATTGTTTTTAGATTACGTGAAATCAAACCATAAAAGTTTTCATAATGCTTTCTCTCATGCAACCGAAACCCGAGAGAAATATAGAAATATAAGATGCTCAAACCCGCTCGCCAATCCTCTTCCACCGGTTCCTACAAACAACGGCGTGGTGGTCCACCTCGAGACAACGATGCCACTTCTTCCATGGTGCCTCCCCATCCTTCTCCTCCGAATCTTGTTTCTCCTATTGCCCTCTCCCTCCCCTAGTAACTGCCCTTCTCCCTAATCTCCCTTTGTCACGTTTCTTGGAGCAGACCTGGCTGCCCCCAATCTTAAGGTGCCAAATCTGATTGAGGGTCACCTAAAAGAAAAAGAGTGAGGTGGGGCGATGGCTTTACGTAGAGGCTTTTCCTTAGCCTTCATTTTCCTTGCCACCACGAGAGGCGGCGACGAAAGTGAAGCTAGTCGTAAGCAATGAATGTGTGAGACATACCAGAGGCTAGTGTAGGTGGTTGCCAGACACATAGAGGAAGCAGTGCTCATGGTGCTATTGTCGGCACCAAAAGTTGTTGGAAATATGGTCACAATTCAGCATATTTTAAACTAAATTATTAAGACAATAAGCATGGCATTTTCAGGGAATAAACTAGTGCGAATGCTAATCAAGAGCAACATACAAATCATGCTTAATATAGAATAAGCATAAACATTCATCACATGTCAATGTAAAAAAACATTGCGGTTAACAATAGTATATTAGAAATGAGCGCGTTGATGATAGATATATACCCTGAGAATGGCTCTCCGCTGGAATATGAGGTAGAGTTGCCTCTGTTGATGGAGCTGTTCCCTGCACCGCCTCCTCCATCGCCATTGTCGACATCTCCCTCAGCAGCACCGTTGATGTTGTCGTCTGTCGACATGTTGGCGTTGATGACGAACAGGAACAGGAACTTGCAGTAGGAGTAGTCATGTTGAAGAACGCTCCCTAAAAACCTTATTGCCCACCTACCCGTGCAGGAACTCAGACGAACAGAGTTTCGGAGGCCCGACTCGTCCCAATCTCTTGTGCATGCAAGAGATCAGAGACCGGGGAGAACAGAAGCAGCACAAGAACAGAGAAACTGGGGTGGAAGGAGAAGTGCGCCGAGAGAGAGGAAAGAACAGAAGACACTCGATCTGTTCGTCCCTTTGGCAGAGTGTTTCTCATGAGAGTAATGTTTGCGCAATTAATCCTCAAATTAACAGCGAATGAATCGCTCTCCGTTAATACAGAATCAATTCCCATATATTTTCCGCCTATCCGTGCAGGAACTCAGACGGACAGAGTTTCGGAGGCCCTACTCGTCCCAATCTCTTGTGCGCACAAGAGATCAAAGACCCGGGAGGACGGATAGAGTTTCGGAGGCCCTACTCGTCCCAATCTCTTGTGCGCA